AAAAAGTAAGGGAACAAAAAAGCATTAAAAAAAGATAAAAATTTGTATACAAGGAATGTGTTACTGGCTTAGTTTATGTAGGTGCTGCTGTCTTGTATTAAAACAGTTTTTTTAAATATTGAATAAGACATTGCTCCCAAATAAATCTGAACTACCCTCTCTCTTATTACAGCGGGTTTTTCCACCCCTTGCTTATCCATTGCAACGACCTATAATAGTTGCCTCGATACTGACATGAAACTCAACTGTCTTAAGTACAGATATGACCTTGGTAGTACTTATTAAGCTTAAGTGTACACATTCAAAGTCAATATATGCAATGACAGAAAGTTGTAATTGATACCATCTGTTTTAATTGAGCAAGTGATCAGATGCTAGGCAGACTCCAGTGAACTAACATCCTGTAACAGCACTGTAACGTTTTTTGGGAAAGTCCAGGATTATTGAAGGAACTCGTTTTTGACTGAGCTGCTTTCGTGTTTTGACGCCTGATTGACACCTGCAACACATTTCATATTTTGAATTTTGTTCCATTTTGAAGTTTGTGAACTAAACGATTTGCTATTAGCATTCAACAATTTTCAAAATAACTTTTCATCAGTGTTGTGGAGTAGAGCTTTGAGTGCCGATCACAATGTCAAAAATAACAATGGATAAACTACAACAGTTCAGTTTAGACATGGCCATACATAGACACAGTTTTTTTATTAACGAGACAAGAAGGAACTGGCAAGACTAAAACTCTGATTGAACTAATCAGGAATTCGAGGAAGACCAAAAATTACAGCTAGCCACAGTCCCATGGAGGGACTGTGAGCTAGCACAGGCATGGCTGCAGGTCAGTCATTTTTTATTATCCAAGAAACGTCCTGAGTGCCTGTGGTTTGAATCGGATCTTTTGTTTCAAATTCGTTGTACGCCTAGAAAGATTATTTTGGTTCAACAGCTCTCAAGGCCCCGTGCCTTGACATTTCCTGACTTTTTTTTTTTTTTACTATTCTGACGTGTTCTGGGCTGTATATAACAGTCAGACACTGACAAGTAAGTAAGTACTAGTAAACAGTCTGGGACACAGTCAATACAAGCCGGTAGGCTGGTTGACGATCTGTTCCGCTCCGCTCCGCTAAAAAAACAAGCAACATGTTTTTGGCTGTTTCCATGGTAGGACATGAACGTGAAGCTTACGTCAGTTTATAACTTAATGGGCCCTGTGTACGAAGTTCGCAAAAACCATTCAGTCTTTAGGAGTCACTTAGTTTATTACTAGGACGTATTCTGCTGTTACATTTATTATTTCCAACCATTTTGCGATAGTATTTTCTAGAATGAAGTTGTGTTGGGATTATGTTGATACAGTGTAACAACGTCAGCGTGATCTCTTCTTACCAGTGCGCAACGTAGCCAAAATAAAAAGCATGATCATCTGAGCAAAAAAATAAAAAGCATGATCATCTGAACACTGCTATTACAAAACTGGTAGGAGGTAATACATTTGGGGCGAAAGTATTCAAAAATCAGTTTTTGACTCCTGTGTGCGAGGCACAAAAAGGGAGTCTTTGCAGTTAGTGTGTCTGTTCCACTGATATCTCAAGAACCAGTCATTGGATTTTGATGAAACTTGGCACATAGATGCTCACAACTAATGCGCAGATTTGATTAGTTTTGGGTAAAAATCTGTGCAATATTAATTACCTAATTTGCATAATGATTAATCAATTTTTGGCTAATCGTCACATTTCAATAAAACTTGTACATAGGTGTCATAGGACACTGCACAAACCTGATAGTTTTTAGAGTAATATCAGTACATATTAATTACCTAATTTCCATAATTAATTTTCAGGTTTTGATATTTCAAGTAGTAATCATCACATTTCAATGACACTTGGTACATAGTTACTTAAGGACTGTGCAGACCCCTGATTAGTTTTTGGGTAAATATTTGTGCATATTAATTACCTTACGGTATTAGCATAATTTTCAGCTTTTTGCCTGATATCTCAAGTACTAATCATCATATTTCAATGAGACTTGCTACATAGATCTTCTAGGACTATGCAGAGACCTGATTAGTTTTAATTTGATATTAATTACCTAATTTGAATAATGTTCCACTGTATTTTAATGAAACTTTTAAAGAGAACTATGCAGAGACCCAATTAGTTTTTGGTAAATATTTATACTTATTAACATAATTAATTAACACTGATATCTCAATTACTGATCATCACATTTGAATAAAATTTGGTACATAAATTCTCTAGGACAATAGAGAGGCCCGATTAATTTTGGGTTAAAATTTGTTCATATTAATTCTCTAGTTAGCATAATAATTCATAATTTTTTTGTTCTGTTCTGTTCTGTTCATATTAGTTACCTGATTTACATAATTAGTTTTCAGCTTTTCCATCAATATCTCGTGTACAAGTAATTTTGAATTAATTTTTAATGTGTCTTCAATACTGTAAAATGACTAATTTTCGCTGGGTTTAAATTTCACTGATTTACCATTTCAGGCATAGTCAGTGGGTTTTAAATTCACGGTTTCGTCATTTAGATAATGTGTTCTATGCTAAATTTTACATATTCACTGTGTTTTAATTTAGCACATTTTTCCAGTCAGCGAAATAAGCTAAATTAAAACCCAGTGAATAGTTACCCCCTTTACAGTACTCTCAGCACACGGGAGTTCTTTCTAAGCTTTCTTTGATTGGCTGTTGCAATGGCAGTGGTGGGCCAGGATTTTTTTTCAATTAGTGACGGTACGACCTACTTGTGAAGTATGAACAAAATCGGCCGAGCCAAAAAAATCACAGAGGAGTTAAAAGCCATTGCTGGTGAAAAGTTATTCAAAAATCAGTTTTTGGCTGTTGCAATGGCAGTGGTGGGCCAGAATTTTTTCCAATTAGTGACGGCACGACCTACCTGTGAAGTATGAACAAAATCAGCCGAGCCAAAAAAATCACACAGGAGTTTATAAAAGCAGTTGCTGGTGAAAAGTTTAACCCAACTTTGGGGTCAAATTTCTCGGTAATGAAAAAAGATATCAAAAATTCAAATAGTAACTTTGTGCCCACACTCAAGCTGAGTAGAATGAGCTATGTCTGAGGTGTTTTATCCCAAATTTGTAGGAGGAGATACATTTGGTGCGATAAACTACCTTTAATTGTCATAATTCTATGTATTATTTCTAGAAATTAATTAAAATTACTAATCATGCCAAACGTTGGTCTGTACTTGTTTGTGGTGAATGAGGGCATTATACTTTACAGTACTGCATCTAATAATCAGACTTATATTCATTGTCTACCATCTAATTTGGTGTTATGCTGAGTGTGTATGTTGCCACTTTCTACAACTAATTGTCTGGGTATAGGGCGCCACCAAGTGGTAGGTTTTGATAAATAACTCCCAGGGTTTAAATTTTGGGGATTTTTTTGCATGGGAAATTACTCGTCTAATGATATTCCATCATATATAAGATCAACAAGAACTTTATTAAACCTTCTTATTAGTCCCCGTTCGGACGCAGTTCGAAAACGGGGACTTGTGTTTTGACCTCCGTGTGTGTGTGCGTGCGTGCATATGTGCGTGCGTCCGGACCTGTATCTTAGAAATGCCTGGACCAATCACAATCAAACTTCATACATACATCATACATGATATTATACATATGCACGTCAATTTGTTTCACGATCTGATTCAAGATGGCCGAATGGATGATTGATCACACCGATTTTATCAAGCACATACTTGGCGCAGAGAAAAACCAGAGTGATTAGGAGGACAAGATGGCGGCGCCTCATTGCCTCGGCGGCGTGGTTCGTGACGTGAAGGAAAATCTTGAGGTCATGGAGCTACCTAGATTTCTATCTGTCATTGGCTGAATCGCAGATTAATGCCTGCACTTCAAAATACATGTAGTCATTTTGACTGACTAGAGTCTATGTGGGTAATTGAACGTAGTGAATGTGGACAACATGCGACTGCAGTAAGTAAGAGTCACTGTGCTGTGCAGCAAAACTACACCTTGTGAAAACAATATTGGAACTCTTGATCAATCAGACATTATGTGACAAACTACATCGTTCTGTCAGGCATGCGGAGGGCGCAACTCACCCGACTTTGTCAGGCTAGAAAAACCTACGAGTTTGTTGGAACAAAAATGGCTGCCATTTTATTTCTAATCGCAACTCATCGACATGTTGTTTAGATATATTTATGATCAGCATCTTGCATGTGTAACTAGACATTTATTTGCAGTACTCACTCTATAAATAAACAAAGACACTCAAAAAACAACCAGGTAAACAATACTTTCTTGAGGAAAAATAAAAAATTGTTTATAAATTCTCCATTTCTCAGTCACAATGTTTTACAATGAGAAAAATAAAATAATGTACTCGCAAAATGTAAACATTTTGTTTTTGTAATATGTGGCGAGTCAGTAAACAAATAACTAAAACGTTGGTTTTCTCCAAAATCTGAGGATAACGTATCCCAAAATCTTGAATGTTAACATATAGACAACAAGAAATAGATAGTTCAGCCAGAGAGGAAGATGAACATTCGCTTCTTGTAGAATAGATGATGATGAAATATATGTACTGTTATTTTGACATTCTTCATAAATAGAATAATCAAGGGTGCACCTGAAATGGAAAAAAAAAGATTTAAAGTGGAGAATCGTCCCCTGTGCATGCCGCAGTTTACAAATAAGTGTCTAGCTATTGAGCATTTACATTTTTAGCGCATGTTATTGTTATCTAGCACATGCACGGCTAACACTCACTCTGCTATAACTAATAAACAAGTCATGGTGGTCGTCGCGCAGCGTGTGTTCAATTTTCATGTAAATAAACAATATATTTTACATGCTTTGTGTACGTCGCTATGAGTCCCATATCGAACAGGACGCGGCACGACAACTGCCGCCCTTTATTGTCACAGTTGCAATTTGGGGGAAAATGTTAATCATGATTTAGATAATGGCCGATGACATATTCCCTATCAAGTTTTTATTTACTTGGTCAATTAAAAACAATAACAGATGTAGATTATAATATGATTATAAGTATGAAAATTGTCACAAGTCAGCATTTTAAATTACCGGTAAATTACAATGCAGACGTGCATCAAAACCATATAATCTGTAATATTCAAACTAAGTTTGATAAAATCCACAATGCCAAAGAAATGATTGACATGTTCAATTGTTTTTTGGGACTAAAATGGCTACCAGTTTGTCAGAGTTCAAAATGAAAAAGAAATGTACATATATACTATTGCAGAACCTTACTTTGGAAGTAAGGGGCATCCATCTTTCAAGGATAACATTTTGCTTTAGCATATAAAAACAGTGCATCAAGGTACCCTGTTAAGTTCAAGTCCTATTATGTTACCTTTGTACCTTTCACAGCTCAAGCATGTTCAAGGGACAAATGAAATAAAATCAACACGACTACCAATTATTTGTAATTCTGATTACAGTACAACATGCAAGAAACTCATAAACTTTGACAATTAGAATGTTTCACTTGGAATGGTTCTTTCTGAATTAAAATCGAGCAAATAACAATTGCATTGTTGTTTATATGCAGTTGCCACCAGTCAATAATAATAGCTCATTGTGGCACTTTCTTTGTTTTGAAAATAATTTGTTACAAGACAAGTTTCATTGAACTATGAAAACGGCTGCTTTCACAACAATGGTGATAATGGCTGTGTTTTTTTCGTGGTCAGGCCAGCTCGCTTTTCTATCGCTTAGTATTAGTATCACGTTTTGTTTTTGTTTTTTTGAGTGCTCTTTATCGATTTGTCAGAGGTTCTGTTTTAGGTTCGTTTATTTTGTTTTTTCCCTCAAGCTTAAGTGCTGTATGCCAGAAATGTAATTTTAGATTCAACAGAATAAAACTAACTTTTTATTTTCTTTTGCCGCCAATTTGTTCTTTGCCATTGAGTAATTCAGATTACATGAACATTACTGTCTGATTAATATATCAGAAATAAAAGGGAAAATGCCCAACAAGTTGAATATAGCTAATACAAAGACAAGTCACAAATATTGTTCTTATTTGCATGGGCAATTAGAGTTTGTTTTTTTATTGGTGTGTTGTGCACATTTTGAGGGAAAATGTCAATTCAAGGTTAAAGTGCCTGTGAAATGGCTGCTATTTTCACGCCTAAAATTATCATTTGATACATAAATATTAATAATTTTTATGTTTCTAAGCATGAATTATTTTTTTTAAGTGAAAAATGTGTTTTAAACTCAGTCTACGGCAACTTTATTTTTGTGTATTTTAAAACGAGGCTCCTCATTAGCTTCTCATTTGCATACAGATATTTCCCTTGTGACATCAGAAGGGGAAGTCGCATGGCAGCTTGCATTGCCGATCCGTGTAAATAAGGCAAATTTCTTGTGCAGTTTTCTCGTCTTTGACTAAATTGTCACATATGTACTTGTTCGTTGAGGAAGAATGGACCATAATGAACACATAGTATCAATTTTTGTTGCATGGGGTTGAGTTAGATGCGAAATATGTCCGTTCTGGTGTAGCTGGTAACCGTCACCGACACCGGCGCACGTTTGTACACTGTCGCTGAACAAAATAGAATTTGACGTCGGAATTATCTCGTTATTTAGCAGGTTACTAGGCACGTCACTACACTGTTTTATTTCATCGATCGTCTAAGTAAAACTTTCAAAATTAAAATAAAAGAGAACATATTCTGACATTCTAAACATTAGACTATA